CTTTACATGAGCAGGCTCACTATTGGCTGATTCAGAGGTCGAGGTCGGCCATTTTGTGTTGACATCATTGTAGTCCTTAGTTCACAACACTTAAGTGTCACCTCAGTCAACACTTAAGAATCAGTCTTAGACTTTACTGAAAGTTGCTTTTAGCTTCTTTATAAAGGTCTCCTACTCTTAGACAAGAATTTTTTGACACTTAAGTCAAAGCTTAAGACTATTCTTAAGAGCATTTCTGAGAAGTTTTATACATACGGGCCCTGATTTCAATAAAACCTCATTTATCTTCTGAAAACTAAGTGTTTTAAGTTTGTAAAGCATAAAGATGCATGTACACTTCCGTTTAAAAGATTGGTGTCTGTTAAAATTGTACAAATATTTTTCAAAAAAGTCTCTTTCATCAATCAAAAATACAGTAAAAAATAATATAGTGAAATTTTATTACAAAATAAATTTTCTATTTGAAAATATTGTAAAAAGTAATGGTCAAGTTGAATGGCCAAGTTGAATTTTCAGCATTATTTGCTTAATATTTTTTTTGGGGGGGGGGGTTAACTTTGAAAGTTATTTTACTGTCAATTTTAATCAAATAAATGTGTTCTTGCTGATTAAAAAATATTAATTTCTTTCAAAAAATAAATTATTACTTAACCCAAACCTTTAAATGATAGTGTCCATATATAAAAAATGTTACAGATACAGCACTGACAAATGCATGAGACTTCTGTCAGCTGTCCAAAAACACTTTTATAATGGCCTCAGGCAAGCAGACAATCCATTTTGAGCTCTAGTGAACTGCCATACTACTCTTATTATTTCTGCAGTGTATATAGTATGTTTACTGTGCATAGCACTATTTTTCTTTATCCATGTAATACAACCTGGAAAAATGTGCAGTATACAATAGAGCACGTTGTGCTGGGTACTCTATTCTACAATGCAGTCTGTTTCCAGTGTGTCAAATGAACTGCTAGTAATATAAGCCAAGGTGGAGAAGGAAGAAGAGAAAGCGAATCAATTGAGAACCCTTAGGATACAGTGGTAATGAAACAACTTCTCTTGGCCATCTGCTGTAACAGGTAGGCTGTAGACAAAGCCAAACAGCACCCCTCAAGATGGGATGCACCTGATTGTCTGACAATCACAATGAGCGCACCTTCAAAACAAGCCCTCTGTTATGTGAAGGTGAACACACTTGACTGAATTTAGACTACCAGTCAAAGTGTAGACAGCTTTTTCTGGTTTAGGATTCCTCATGATCTTAAAAAAACTTTGAATTTGCTGGCTTGCTGTATGTGTAAATGTTTTCGAAATTAGTTTTATAGACAAATATAAATTGTGCAGCCTGGGCGATAAAACGGTATCGATATTTATCAACGGTACACCTTCTTCGATAACGATATAAAATGTTCGATATAGTGCACGATATAGGCACATGCTATGAGTGACGCAGACAGCACACACAAACAGGAACATGGGTCACGAGATGCGGTGATGATGATGTAAGATGTTGCATTTGAATGTTTTGTTAGTATAGGCCACAAGACGCGCCGCTGCTGCGTTATTCATTCAAAATATTAGAGAAATATAGAAGCTCAATGCGGAATTTTATAGGTTAAAACCGAAACCAAGCCATTCACAATTCAGCGCATTTTTTAGACGGACAAATATAACTGCTGCGCTCGGGTCTCACAGAAGAGATGTATAGAAAGCCATGCAAAGTTAAAACAGTTTAAACTTTTAGAAAATGCGTAACGAATTTGTGGAGGTTTATTCCTTTTCACTGCATCTGGTTTGTTTTTAAAGGCAATCTGTGTGATGGGCGATTCGGCTCTTTGGATTAAGCAATGCATAAATACGTGATGCTGTTTTGTTCATAATTTGTTTATGCATTTACGAAA